GTCTCCTTCCCGTCATCCCCCTTCTTCCTCGGCGGCGATCTTACCACCTTCGTGCTTCTCCCGAAGATGTTCTCTTCCGCCGTCCACCTCTTCATCTCCCTCTCCTCCTCCTGCCTCCCTCTTTTCTCTCCTCTTTTCAAAAACTCTACTATTGGCACGCTGTTCGCCCTCTCCCTGCCTAGTAGCTCTATGTTCTTTGGTCGCCCTACCTTTCCTTTCCCTCCCTCCTTTACTCCCTCCCCCTCTTTCTTCTCTTCTTCCATTCTATACTCCTTTCTATTCTACTCTCTTTTCTTCTCTACCTACGCTTGTCTACTTTTCCTATGCGCTTACCCCTCTATCTACCTTCCCTATTCCCTGCCTCCCTCTACTCTTCCCTCCCACTCTCCACTCTATCTCACTGCCTACTCTATGCCGCCTGTCACTCTCGCCTACCTTTCTTGTCCCGCTTCTCTCTCCACCGTACCTCTCCTTCTCGCTCGCACTCCTCGCCTCCACTTGCCCCGCCTCTCTCAACCCTTTCCCACGTCTCCCCACTCTTCTTTTCTCTAGCTCTACTCCACTGCCTCTCTATTTCACCTTTATTCTCCCAATCACACTCTCATACATCCACACGTTTTCGTCACCGGAAACGGAAGCCAACCTATATCGTAGTGGATGCATATATAAAAAGTATGCAATAAATCGGCATACCTTCACTATATCTAAATGTCCCTTAGCAAACCAAGTACCATGAAATACACTTATTTTCATATTGCACGTTTTTCGTTGCCTTTTTCGTCCTCGAATCTGCTTGTAGTATTTATTGGTACAGTGTAGAACGTGTGTGTCTGACTCGTACGTCACATTCACAATATTTTTGCAGTGTGGACACTCAATGTCTTGGCGAATTACTTTTTTCTCGCCCAAATATCTAATGAGCTCATATTTTTTATACGTGAGATGAAGAAACTCGTGAAGTAACATCTTACGTTAGTAGCACGTCGCGAGTCGTAAGCTTGACGAGTGAAATTCGACTGTGAGGGATTTGTTGTGATGTTACTGTGGATAGCTTACTCTCATTCGTATGCTTGATAATATCAAAGAAACTTATACACTCTTTGAATTGTATATGGTGTCAGAAACTTTCCACGTGAGGCCATCCTAAACGTACATGATATCGTGAACTACATACATAGCATTTGCGAAACTTCTTTTTCCATAACTTTTTAACGAATAACGAGCGACGGCTAAAACCTTCTGAAGGTCACTCATGTCAGTAAGGTGACAACATATGCCAAGGTCAAGGTCATTGGGGCTGGGTCCGTGTTTGTAAAGTTTTACCATAGTTTTATGTATCCTTTAATTCAAATCGCCCGCTTGTGGTTATGTCCGCGCGTTCTCCTGAGCGCCCTTCCGCGCGAATGGTTTCCGGCGACACCGCCGCCAGCATGATGGCGTTGTGCGTATCCTTTCCCCCAAAATTAACAAAAGATATCGGAAGGAGAGCTGGTCGTCAAGCACTCAGAGACAAGTCGTCGTTACCGTCGTTACCGAACCACATCATCGTGCGCTACGCATAAGAGCTGCCTTTGTAACTGAGTCACCAAATAAAGGCTAGTGCGAGAGAAGACATCTTCTCGTCCGTATATCGTGAAGCATCACACCAGTGTATACGGCGGGTACATGCCCATTCCGCAAAATCTATCGTACAAACTTATGGTCCTTCGAGCCGGATTGCATCAAAGGCATCCCACGGACTCGACTCAAGGCAGTGGCCAGTAAGTTGCTGGAGGAAAGCGCACGAGGTAACCACGAAGCATACGGCGATCGACGATAACCTGGCTCGTCGCCCGATCAAGGGAGCGCGTGCTCTAGACGGAAGGATCTTTCGAGGAGAGCAGCGCGAAACCAAGGAACCGCGCACGGCGTCGGCCGGCGCACGTCTACGCAACTCGGCCATCTTTCCAACAAGGGAGAGACAAGAAAACGGCCATCTTTCCAATAAGGGAGAGACAAGGAAACGGCCATCTTTCCAACGAGGGAGAGACAAGGAAACGGCTACTTTCCAACGACGGCGAGCAATATTCCAGCGGAGGAACTGCCACAGCGAATCTCCACCGGTCACATCCAACGGGACGGACGACGCATCGAGAGCCAAGCAGTCCACCCGAGAAGTCGACCACAACCAGCCCCCACCTTCGAAGCATCGACCGACGGGAATACCAGAGCGTTCACGCGTTTTCCGTTATTCAAGGACAAAGGTAAGGGAAATTATTTTGGTGTCACGTGCAAACCAGATTCGAACGAAACGCGCAGTTCGCATAAAGTAACAAAATGTCCGACACAGAGGACCTCGCGGCACTCAAACGACAACGCGCCGTGATCAAAGCATCTTGCATGCGAACCAAAAATTATGTCGACGCAATTTCCGCCGTTGATTCCGCGACGATAGCTCAACTCGCGGAACGCAAACTAAAGCTCGAGCAGCATTGGGCGGAATATAATACCGTTCAAGCAAAAATAGAAGGTCAGGGGGGCGCCGAGGATGATGATCGGAAAGCGTTCGATGAAGCGTTTTTCTCAATATTCGCCAAAATCCGGGAGAGGTTAAGTTTGCAAGGACCATCGCGCACAGTCGCTGCCTCCCCGGCTGCGTCTGAAACATCAGAAGCCACTTCTCGCGTACGCCTGCCCAAATGAAATTTACCGACGTTTTCGGGGAAATACGACGAGTTCCCGTTTTTCGATACATTCAAGTCGGTCATACACACAAATGATTCCCTCAGTTGCATACAAAAATTCCAGTATCTAAAGGCTTCCCTCTCGGGCGAGGCCGGTACCGTGATTAGCTCCCTCGAAATATCGGACGCGAATTACAACGCGGCGTGGAGTCTTCTCAAAGAGCGGTACGATAACAAGCGGGTAATCGTACAAAATCATATCAAGGCCATTCTAGAACTGCCTTCAATGAACAAGGAAAATCACATTGAGTTAAGACAAATCGCGGGTGGCGCAACAAAACATCTGCACGCGTTACAAGCTCTAAAGCGCCCTACCGAGCATTGGGACGACATCTTAATACACGTGCTCTGCACGAAAATCGACACTCTCACGCTACGAGAATGGCAATCCTCTCTCTCGGGTAGTGAATTACCGACATCAAAACAATTCTTTGAGTTCATAACGCGCCAATGTCAGATGCTTGAAGCCACCAACAAATCTAACAGCACCGCGAACACAAAAGGTAATCCTGCCCAATCGAATGTCAAGCGCCAAGCAGCGTGTGCCGCTACCGTCAAACTGAAATGCAACTACTGTAAAGGTGAACATTCCATTTATTACTGCAAGGATTTCTTAGCGCTTCAGGTTCCTCAAAGAATTGCTGAAATGCGCTCTCGAAAATTTTGTCTGAACTGTCTGCGTTCCAGCACTCACATCTCAAACAAATACACTTCCGGAGGTTGTAAGGTCTGCCAGGCAAAACACAACACGTTACTTCACATAGCAACGGCCCCGCAGCAAGCGCCCGCCACTGCTGGTCCTTTGGGAAAGAACAGCGATACTTCAAAATCTAGTGACATCTCATCCGTGGCAACGACGCACGCCACCGGAGGCGAGGGCAACGTCATCTTGTCAACAGCTATAGCTCAGGCGCGCGATCATCAGGGCGTGCTACGACCTTGTCGCATTCTATTGGATTGTGGATCTCAGGCGAACTTTATATCACAAGGATGTCTGACCAGACTCGGCCTCGTTCCCCGATCACTAAGCGTAACCATATCGGGCGTAAATGGAACGGTCGCAACAGCCACGCAAGCAGTAAAAATCGAGTTACAATCGCGAGTAGACCCCTACCGCGCTACAATCGACTGCATTGTTTCAGACCACATCAGCGACAGACTTCCTGTCACATCAATGAGACGAAAGGAATTTGTCTCTCACGAAACATCAAACTAGCGGATCCACAATTCCACATTTCCTCTGAGATCGACCTCCTAATTGGTGCCGAAATATTTTGGGATCTTCTGTGCGTAGGGCAAATACCATCGGCACCTTGGCACCCGAAGTTGCAAAAAACGAGGCTTGGATGGATTCTAGCGGGACGAATGACTGACTCAAAATCTCCACCAAGGGTACATTCTTTCCACGCATCTATCACCAATGAACAGCTACACGATCAACACGATCAGCTAAGTCGATTCTGGCAATTGGACGATGGAATAAATAACTCTGAAAACTTGACTCCCGAGGAAAAATATTGTGAGCAACATTTCTTGGACAATGTTTATCAAAATCCTCAAGGTCGATATGTGGTCAAGCTTCCCGTCAAGAATCAATTAATCGACAAACTGGGAGAGTCTCGAAGCATTGCAACGTCTCGTCTCAAGGGTCTCGAAAAACGATTTAAGCGTCAGCCCGAATTGAAAAGGGAGTACAACCAATTCATCAAGGAGTATATTTCGTTAGGTCACATGCGAAAGATGGATTCACCGCCAGATGAAAGTGCGCCATTCTTCTATCTGCCGCATCACTGCGTTTTTAAAGTCAGCAATCAAACATCCAAGATTCGCGTCGTATTTGACGCCTCATGCAAGACCGCCGAGGGCTTATCCCTGAATGATGCCCTTATGGTGGGACCGGTCGTACCGCCAGAACTGACCGCCATACTTATCCGCTTTCGATTCTTCACCTACGTGTTTAGCGCAGACGTGATAAAAATGTACAGGCAAGTACTAGTGGATCCATCTCAAACGCGCTTACAACGGATTCTATGGAGAGATGATCCTGACAACGACATGGATACCTACGAGTTGCTGACGATAACATACGGAACGTCATCCGCTTCATACTTGGCCATCCGGACCCTTAATCATCACTCAGATCAATACGCATCCAGATACCCGATAGGTTCGAGAGCCGTGAAACGCAGTGTTTATGTCGACGACTTCTTGTCAGGAGCAGACACGCTACAGGAGGCTATGGTACTTAGGGACGCGTTGATAGAATTATTGAAGGTCGGTTCTTTCGAGCTCAGTAAATGGGCGTCAAATTGCCCAGAGCTCCTCCAAAACATAAGGAATCGCGATGGCGAGTTAATTGCTCTTCATGATGAGACAGATTCAAGTATACTGGGCATTCAATGGAATCAGGTCGAGGACGCCTTACATTTCGCATATGATTCAACATTCTCTAGCGGCACCGTATCTAAACGTGCAATCTTGTCAGAAGTTTCCAGGTTGTTTGACCCTCTGGGACTTCTCGGACCTGTCATCGTAATCGCCAAGCTAATTCTTCAAAGCCTGTGGAAGGCCGGCATCCATTGGGACGAGTCCGTACCGCAGGAACTGCATACAAGTTGGCTAAAACTCAAGTCTCAACTACCTGTTGTAAACCAGTTGCAAATCACTAGGTGCGCCAAATTCCATCCAGACCCGCAGTTCGCACAATTGCATGGTTTTTGTGACGCGAGTCAAAACGCATATGGCGCGTGCATCTATGTTCGCACAAAACTGGAAACTGGGGAATACCGTTCAGAATTGCTGTGCTCTAAGTCACACGTGGCCTCCCTCAAGGCCGTGTCCCTACCGAGACTGGAGCTTTCGGCGGCGGTTCTGTTAGCCCAGCTGATAACTAAGGTGAGAAACTCATTGGACTCGCCGGTGCAGGCATTTCTTTGGTCGAACTCTACAATAACTTTGAACTGGATAGCGTCATCTTCGCGTAACTGGTCAGTATTCGTGCCGAACAGGATCGGAGAGGTGCAACGATTGACTCAAATCAGCGATTGACGCCACGTCCCTTCTCCTTATAACCCGGCGGACATACTGTCTCGAGGCTTATATCCTCGTGACCTAGTCGCATCGTCTATGTGGTGGCATGGCCCCACCTTTCTACAGTTACACGAAAATCATTGGCTATCGGGAAGTTTTGTATGCTCAAGCGATGACATGCCCGAGCAAAGAAAAATAGCAGCGACAGTCGTCAAGCCTGAGCAGTGCATAGTCAACGAACTACTCAACAAATATTCTGGGCTGAGCAAAATCCTGCGGATTGTGGCATATTGCAGAAGGATGCTTAGGAAACAACCCATTGCACCAACCAATGTAATTTCTTCGGCTGAAATCTCGCTCGCAATGGAAGCGGTTTGCCGAGCGGTGCAAAAACAAGTTTTCCTCAATGAATACGCGGCATTAAAAGGGGGAACCAATATCAATACGAGCAGCCGTTTGTTATCGTTATCGCCCTTTATAGATAAAAATGATCTAATTCGGGTAGGTGGTAGGCTCAAAAATTCGGACTTAGATTTCTGTGTGCGCCACCCCATTCTGTTGCCACGCAACCACGACTTAACCCGAAAATTAATAAAACACGAACACATTCGCAACAAGCACGCCGCGCGCCGGAACGCAGGGTACCATGGCTTCCGTCAGGCAACGATTCTGGCCGCTATCATTGAGATCTGCCACTCGCAAGATAATAGAAGAATGCATAGTTTGTTTTCGAGCAAAACCGCGAGGTTCCGAGGCTTTAATGGGATCGTTGCCCGCCGGGCGTGTTAACCCCTCTAGGCCATTCGCGCATTGTGGGGTGGATTATGCCGGACCGGTCATTCTTCGCGAGGGAAGCAGACGCAACGCACGAAATCATAAGGCTAACATAGCCATTTTCGTGTGTTTCGCCACAAAGGCCGCGCACATCGAGGTCGTAAGTGATCTGACAACAGACTGTTTTCTCGGCGCTTTCAAGCGCTTCATTGCGCGAAGAGGGAGGCCGACTCACATGTACTCGGACAACGGGACCACTTTCGTCGGGGCAAAAAAGCAAATTAAAGAATTATACGAATTTCACAATAAACAAGAAACGCAGGCCGATTTCAATCAATTCTGTACTAACGAGGGCATTACCTGGGGGTTTATCCCGCCTAACGCTCCTCATTTTGACGGTTTGTGGGAGGCAGCGATAAAATCCGCCAAGTACCACTTGTCTAGAATCGTGGGCCAAGCCCATTTAACGTATGAGGAACTGCAGACCGTATTGTCTGAAATCGAAGCCGTACTAAATTCGCGCCCTATCACACCATTGAGCGAGGACCCAAACGATTTATCTTATTTAACTCCGGGTCACTTTCTGATTGGCACAGCACTAAATAGTTTTCCTTACAGAGATCTCAGCGAAATCAATGAAAACAGGCTGCTACGCTGGCAGCGGGTAGAGCAGCTTAGACAGCATTTTTGGCGCAGGTGGAGTAGCGAGTACTTAAGTTCGTTGCAGGAAAGAACGAAGTGGAGGCAGAATTCGGGCATCCAATTACGTCCCAATCAACTTGTGCTCGTGAAGCAACAAAACCTTTTTTTTTTTACGTGTGGAAATCCTTTATGGATACCCGGGCCCCCCCTCTGGGAAGGGAGTTACAAAGTGGCCCGGGTTCTGTGGGACTGCCCGCCTAATGGCGATCGGCTGCGGCCGCTAAAATTGCGGCCGCTGGGCTTACCTCACTAAAACCACACGGTGGACTGCGCGGTGCTTTACTTGGGGGACGCCCGGGACTTGGCAGAGCCATTACTTCCGGACGCCCCCCGCACCGGCCCGCCGTTTGGCAGGCGGGCCTTCGCGCTCCTTCCCCCGGTGATGTGGGGGAGGGGAAGCAACAAAACCTAGCTCCCCTACAATGGACATTAGGTCGCGTTGTGGAAATCCATCCCGGATCCGACAACATCGCAAGAACCGCAGCTGTAAAAACCGTTAAGGGTACCTACACAAGGCCCTTGTCGAAGCTCGCGATACTGCCTTTGGAAACCCCAACGACAGACTAATTAGAATAACAGTCATGCGTAATAGTTTGTAATGCGAATATTTAGTTATTGTTAGATATCCTAAGTTCTTTTTGCGTCATAGGTACAATTGTGTTACCAAGTCATACATGTACGTATCTTAAGGCTCTCCCATTTCGTTTTCTTTCTATTTTTTTTGGTTTTGTTCGTCTTGAAAGCGCATTCTTTCAAGGGGGGCGGCGTGTTCCGTATTCACTATAATAGTTTTATGTATCCTTTAATTCAAATCGCCCGCTTGTGGTTATGTCCGCGCGTTCTCCTGAGCGCCCTTCCGCGCGAGTGGTTTCCGGCAACACCGCCGCCAGCATGATGGCGTTGTGCCCTTTCCCCCCCAAAATTAACAAAAGATATCGGAAGGAGAGCTGGTCGTCAAGCACTCATTGTCAGAGACAAGTCGTCGTTACCGTCGTTACCGAACCACATCATCGTGCGCTACGCATAAGAGCTGCCTTTGTAACTGAGTTACCAAATAAAGGCTAGTGCGAGAGAAGACATCTTCTCGTCCGTATATCGTGAAGCAATCATTCCACCAGTGTATACGGCGGGTACATGCCCGACAATTCCGCAAAATCTATCGTACAATGCGCAAGGTCAGATAAAAAGCTATGGAAAAATGCCATGAGAGAAGAAATAAAATCTCTTGACGATAATAAAACTTGGAATTTAGTAGAAAGACTCTCCGACAAAAATGTTGTTAAATGTAAATGGGTTTATAAACTAAAAAAGGGAATTAATGGCCCGAAAAAATATAAAGCACGATTTGTAGCAAAGGGATTTACGCAAATACCTGGTAGGGATTAGTAGTAGTAGTAGTAGTCTTTATTCCCTTTCAGGTTATACATGGCGCTTTTCCAGGGATCGTATCCGAACCCTTTACATTTCTCTTCTCTTTCCCTCGCGACCTGGCTATTTGCGACCGTTACATACTAACACCTCCCTCCCCTCGCAGCCCCTCCCCCTGTCCTCCCCAATCCCTTTCTCTCTCCTCTGTTCCCTTCAGTTCCCTTATTTAACCTTTTCTGCACGCCTTTCCTTTTCCACTCTCTCCTCTTTCTCCTTGTCGTTCCCCTGCACCTGTCCTTTCGCGTCTTTCTCCTCCTTCCTCTCCTGGTAGCTCACCCATCTTCCTCTCCTTCCTTTCCATCCATTTGCTCCCTCCCTTCTCATCTCTCCTTTCCTACAATCAAACATATTCCTTACGTTTTATATTATCCTCCCTTCCCCCTCCGTCCACTCCTCTCCCCCTTTCCATTTCCATTTCTTCCCGTCCACCCACATCTTTTTGTTTTTACCCTCCCCCGCCTACCCTTACCCCTCTCGATCCTTGCTCTCTCCAACATCCTCCATCTCATCATCCTCTCTTCCATGTTTAGATCTTCCTGCCCCCTAATAAATCCCTCGCTATTCTTTTTAACACATGCACGCACGCACGCACGCTCTCTCTCTCTCTCTCTCTTTCTCCCCCTCTCTCTCTCTCCTCCCCACTCACTCTTTCACTTCCTCATTCTTTCCCTCCTTCGCTCTTTGCTCCTCTGTCCTCCGTCTCCTCGTATCCCGTCCTCTCCTCCCACCACCACCTTCTGCCTTTCCTCTCCCTTCGATCTCTCTCCTCTCCCCTCCAGTCCTTTCCCTCTCTCTCCCTGCT